CACAGCAGATCTGAATGCTCAGGGCGTATAGAGTTACCTCCCTTGGTCCATGAAGCACTTGGCCGCAACTACTAAATACATTTGTATATGAAATCTGCTGGGCTGACTTGTGTCTCAATTTGCAATCTGATCAAAACTCCACTGAACCATGTTGGTTTGCATGCAAGTTTTCATGCTGGTTGATTATTGATGTCCAAGCCGTATTAGGAAAGTTTATTGAAACTTAAATGTTGGAATTAATCTGGTTGTAATGTTTATATTAACAATTATCCTACTTTTTTGGAAGACTTGACATGTGCACAGGTTATGAACCACTGAATTGAACAGAGAGTGATTGAGGGTAGCAAGATATTGCCTCCCTCCAACGCTCTCTGCCCAGTGGAACCAACAAGCTTGGGTTGAGGGTAGCAAGATATTGCCTCCCACCAACGCTCTGCCCAGTGGAACCAACAAGCTTGGATTGAGGGTAGCAAGATATTGCCTCCCACCAACGCTCTGCCCAGTGGAATCAACAAGCTTGGGTTGAGGGTAGCAAGATATTGCCTCCCACCAACGCTCTCTGCCCAGTGGAACCAACAAGCTTGGGTTGAGGGTAGCAAGATATTGCCTCCCACCAACGCTCTCTGCCCGGTGGAACCAACAAGCTTGGGTTGAGGGTAGCAAGATATTGCCTCCCACCAACGCTCTCTGCCCAGTGGAACCAACAAGCTTGGGTTGAGGGTAGCAAGATATTGCCTCCCACCAACGCTCTCTGCCCAGTGGAACCAACAAGCTTGGGTTGAGGGTAGCAAGATATTGCCTCCCACCAAAGCTCTCTGCCCAGTGGAACCAACAAGCTTGGCTGAACCCATGACCAGGAAATACTCCAGCTTGAGTAAATTACCCTCTCAGGAGTCAAGTTGTATAGGCCATGACAAATGATAGCCTTGTGGCGCTAGTTAAGAAACATTAGAAACAAACATCCTATACAATGGCATTTGTTTATTGGGGTTTTACATTGACTGTTCATTAACACTAAGACATTGTATGACTGCAGTATTCTCCCTAGGATGTGATTTTTAAATGGTGGAGAAACATTTAAGTTTTACCATTGTCCTTGGGGGTTGTGTGTCTCAGCAGTCCACTCTGTCAGTCAGTTCGGTGTACACCAGCAGTGACACTGCTGCTTGGCAAGTAACTGAGTGTCTCAATCTGAAGAATTAGAGGACATGTGGAACCATCTGTCATGTGTGTTCGGAGGTAAGAATTATGACATCATTAAGCCATCTACAGATATAGGTCATAGTTAACTGGTGGTGTACAGTTCTGTATCTTATGTATAGGTCATAGTTAACTGGTGGTGTAGAGATCTGTATCTTGTGTATAGGTCATAGTTAACTGGTGGTGCACAGATCTGTATCTTATGTATAGGTCTTAGTTAACTGGTGGTGTGCAGATCTGTATCTTATGTATAGGTCTTAGTTAACTGGTGGTGTAGAGATCTGTATCTTATGTATAGGTCATAGTTAATTGGTGGTGTACAGATCTGTATCTTATGTATAGGTCATAGTTAACTGGCGGTGTAGAGATCTGTATCTTATGTATAGGTCATAGTTAACTGGTGGTGTAGAGATCTGTATCTTATGTATAGGTCATAGTTAACTGGTGGTGTAGAGATCTGTATCTTATGTATAGGTCTTAGTTAACTGGTGGTGTAGAGATCTGTATCTTATGTATAGGTCTTAGTTAACTGGTGGTGTACAGATCTGTATCTTATGTATAGGTCTTAGTTAACTGGTGGTGTGCAGATCTGTATCTTATGTATAGGTCTTAGTTAACTGGTGGTGTAGAGATCTGTATCTTATGTATAGGTCATAGTTAATTGGTGGTGTACAGATCTGTATCTTATGTATAGGTCATAGTTAACTGGTGGTGTAGAGATCTGTATCTTATGTATAGGTCATAGTTAACTGGTGGTGTAGAGATCTGTATCTTATGTATAGGTCATAGTTAACTGGTGGTGTAGAGATCTGTATCTTATGTATAGGTCTTAGTTAACTGGTGGTGTAGAGATCTGTATCTTATGTATAGGTCTTAGTTAACTGGTGTACAGATCTGTATCTTATGTATAGGTCATAGTTAACTGGTGGTGTACAGATCTGTATCTTATGTATAGGTCTTAGTTAACTGGTGGTGTAGAGATCTGTATCTTATGTATAGGTCTTAGTTAACTGGTGGTGTACAGATCTGTATCTTATGTATAGGTCATAGTTAACTGGTGGTGTACAGATCTGTATCTTATCTATAGGTCATAGTTAACTGGTGGTGTAGAGATCTGTATCTTATGTATAGGTCATAGTTAACTGGTGGTGTACAGATCTGTATCTTATGTACCAGTCATAGTTAACTGGTGGTGTACAGATCTGTATCTTATATATGACGGCTATTTATACTGATGCTGGCATTTGTTGTTGTCCTTGATTCAGGATAAGAAGTAATACAATGGTATCGTTTTCTAATAAAAACTATGGAAACAATCCATCATTGACCTGTGCATGTGAGAGCTGACATTTGTTGTTTCCCTCCACACAAGGCGTATATGAGAGCAGGCTACAGGCCACATTTGTTCATGGTTTATGTCTGTTCTATTGATGTGTGTGAATGAATCTTCTCTCTGTGACTCAATTATAGGCCTGGGGAACATGGTAAGTGGGAAACTGTTTCTTGTGTGTGTGTGTGTGTGTGTGTGTGTGTGTGTGTGTGTGTGTGTGTGTGTGGGTGTGTGTGGGTGTGTGTGTGTGTACGTATGTGTGGGTGTGGGTGTGGGTGTGTGCGCGACTTGTTCACCACTACCAGTGATATTCCCCCAGGGGCTACTCTTGTTTACTGTGTAGCAGACTAACGTTTTTACCCCCCAGAACTTGTGTGTGTTTTTATCTCAAACTGGTGTTCTACCTTGACTTTGAGAGTACTGTTTCATCTATCAGGGATTTAAGATTAAAAAAACATGTCTGAACACCTTATTTGATGTCCATTTCCATCGCATGTCTGCATTTGTTTTCTCACCCATCACTCTGATACAGTTGAGCCATGTTATTCTTCATTGGTTGTGTTCAGTAATTAGCAGCTTTGTCACATAGGACAGCTTAAGCTTTAAGTTCTTTTGAAAACTGAAAACACATTTTTTAGAGCCCACATAAAAAAATTATCCACATTTGCAGGCAAATTTTGCATTGCAGCAGAAAGTTGTTCACTAGGATGAGTTGAAGTGACAGTGTGTGTGCACAGTTTCAGGTTGCAGATTGAAATCAGTCGTGTGGTTCTAGTATGGCTCATTTATATGTTCTATATATATATATGGAATTGTAGAACAAGGGCTCGCTGTCAGAACATTGTCATGAAGCCAGAAGTCAAGCTGACTGATGTTGCCACATAATGTGGCCATTATGTAATTAACAATATTCTACACAGCATAGTTGGGCCTCCTGACTGACCTGACTGGCCACAACAATGTTGTTGTCGATGTTGAGAGTCCTCTCTGTTGTCAGCAGCTAATTTACTCTTTACATCCACAGCCATCGGCACAAGTGATTAAGCAGACTAGGGGAGGGGTAGACTTGCACAAGTCTATGAGGCAATAATTATTAGTTTAAATCATACTTTCTAGATTATATAAATAATAACAACAAGTTGTCCCTATAATAGACAGGCATACTGTCCGCTTATCTAGACTTGCCCATTATGAGGATAGAATTACTATACACCCATGGACTTACCATTCAGTACAGCCTTGGAGCATGGCTTGGGGAGGGGGGCAGATGAATTTATTTGACACTTCAAGAGATTTGAGTGGTGATGCTCTTTGAATGATCGATATACTGAACTACTTTGGTTTTAGATTAAAACAATTATGAATTTATTAGGATCGTAAAATTATTGGTCAACACTTAATGTTCAAGTGTTGATGTATCTAATCTAGACATTGTAGCTAATGACAGTATTTTCATATGAGAACAATTTGGCACCCCGAGTTCAGTTAGTTCCTCAGTTTCACTTTATCTTTGGCTTATGTGTCATTGACATCTGCATTGATGGGAGGAGCAAAGGGAAGAGAAGGTTGCCTGATTGGTGAGATGGTTATCTACTGCATGTAATGGGAGGCTGACTGTGACAAGGATGGTTCTATCTGGTGGAACATTGGGAGGGCTAACTGTAGACAAGTAGATGGAGCAAACATATTCCTACTGCCTTGGCCACTGGGAGGTGAGCAGTTTACCATTAGATAACAATCTTGGTGAAGCAGATTTTCTAATCATAAATGACCTTTAAAGTTGCTTTCATTGATGCATTGTTCTAACAAATATGAAAGTTTACAAAGACATCGTTTCAGCAATAGTGAGGAATGTGAGTGAGTTGCCATGCTGATCCAAGTAGGGTGAGTCGGCAGTATCAGTTTGTCATGACTTCTTGAATGTCAGTTCCTACATCTGGAATGGAAACTGATGTAATGCGTTGACCTCATCTCATTGCAGGAGTCCAAGGAACTAAGGCTGTCTTTCACACATTAATGATAGTACATCATGATTGATTGTCTCCCATTGTACCCTAGCAGACCATGAAGCAGTCAGACCCAGGAGATTCTTATATCAATAATCATTATAGGCATATGTTTCATCAGAGTTGACTTCAAGGTATAAACATTTTCACTGGCCACAATGTCTCAAGTCATACTGGTTATAACAAGTGACACCTATTCCCAGCCCCCAGCTGATTTTGGTTTAAAGGAAAATCGTATGATAAAATGAGCTCATTGATGTAGTGGACAAACCTCACCTTTGAACAGAGTCGTTTCAATAAACTGCTCTTTCATTAATTTCCCTGCTTTGTGTGAACCCATACATACAGATTGCTTTTCAGCATTGTGTACAGGAAACCTGATACTTCCGCTTGGTCACATGCATCGTGAAAACAATCGTATATACCTTTAATGCGTATTCAAAATTTGTTCTATTGTTTTTCAGCTCCTGGCAGAGATTTCAGAACTTGAGGAAAGTTTTGAGGCTGTAGAGGGCACTGAGACGGAACAGCATCGAAGTGCGTCTGTTAGTCCGGTCAAAGTTGCTGAACACCCAGGGGGGACAACTCCACGACGGTTACATAGGAAGAAGTCAGGACGTCGTAGTTTGAGCCTTCCAAGTGGAACTTTGTCCTATGGGGATGTCAAAATCACCTATGTTGATGGACACTTTGTGGCAGAGCCACCTAGTTCTGAATCAGAGACTAACCCTCAACCGTATACTGGAAGTCAGAGTGACACTGTCAACAGTGGAAGTGTACCAGCTACAAGCTCCGAGTCAGTCACTGATGTGAACAGCAACGACGACACTCTATCCATTCTGTCGGACCTGTCCATTAGGGATGAACTGTTGTCATTGTTAAACCAGCATTTAGTGGATAGTGATGTGTTTTACAACCACCCGCTGGACTGGAACTGTAACCATGCGGGGAGTGACTCCTCCTCGCACTCCAGTCAGAGCAGTCTGGCTATGATGCCAGCATCATCAACATTGCCACGGAGGACCGGTCGGGACAATGACGGAAATCGCCCAGTTTCTGTAGATGACATACAGTTACTTCGAAATGTATATCTTCAAGAACAGTGTGAAAGTCAAGGTGACAATGAAGGTCAAAGCCACACAAGGAACTACAGTTTTCGAGAAGCTGTAAATCAGGACTTGTTGTCTGATCCCAGGAATGGTCGTAGGAGACTGTCTGTACAAGACGATAAAAGTGAGAGATCTAGATCAAAAAGTCCAAATTTCTTCCAAAGAATGTTGTCTAAACGAAAATCATTCTCAGAAAAAGTGGCAAAACTACCTCAAGATGAGGGAACATCCAGAAAAGACACTTCGATAGTTAGACGCATGTCATTAAAAAGTTTGTTCAAACGGAAAAATCGGAAAGGTTCAGATGAACCAGACAGTCCACCAATTGCAGCTTTCCTTAAAGATGAGGACATCGGTGCTATCAGTTCATTACCAAACTCTCCATTTGTGTCAAAGCGTGTTCAGAGAGTACAAACAGACCCACACATACAGATTCGAAGACCAGTTCAGAGATGTCCCGATGAGTCTCAGTCTAGCATGAAATCACCATCCCTCAGTCAATCAATCATCAGGAGTGGCTCCAGGCCTGGCCTCACTCGACCAGACGTACCACCCAGGCGAAGACAGAGCTCATCTAGCTCTATAAAGCAAGGTTCATTAACAGATCGGAGTTCTGGGGAGTACAGTATATGTGAGTTTGACATAGGAGCAGATGACAGACTTACACCGCGATCTTCGTCACCGTCCATAGTTGACAATGAGCGAGACGCCACACTTCTTGCATCTCCTCATTCTGGGGACTTTGTCCAATCTGTTGCAGTGCATCCAAATAGGTTGAATCCTCGGCTTGATCAGATGTCACCACAGGAATTTGAAAAACTGTCAGGAAAACTTGTACGAGGGGAGATAACTTCAAGTAACAGCAACGACAGCGGAATACAACATGATGCTGTCATATTGTCCAGCTGTGAATCTCTCAAGGTAAAATATCATTCCTTTGAGTTTCATAAGAAGTATTGTGCATCAGCATGTTTGATACTACAGGCCTTTTCAAGTACTAACCCCATCACACAGAGGTCAGTTTGAGGGAGGAGGTAGAGGACGTGTGTTCCCACTGATTCAGGTTCAAGTGCACCCTCTTCACCATCATAGCAGTGTTTACATACACCTCAACATCAACACTTAAATAGGTTTTGAGTAATGTAGGACTTGGATAATGCAACCAGTGTTACAATTCAAAATTTGGCAGCATTTATTTAGTGGGTATTTTTTCAAGTGCAGTTGAACAAACAATAGTTTCTATTGTGATTAGTTAAACTAAGGATCATTATCCTCATGACTAATAATAGGTTGATTGTTAGTTGAGTGTGGCAGGCTGGTGAGATGCTATTTCCCTGATAGAGACTGTAGCAGTTGTGTGGAGGGACCAGGAAGTGGGTGTCGGTGTGTAGCAGCTACACAGTACATCTGTGCCTGACTGAGGCCGGTCACCTCCCTGGAGGCCACCAACAAGTATGTAGGATTGGCAGCTGTCAACTGTAACACACCACACAATCTAGGGATAACCCCCAGCAAAACTCACATCAGTCAAAGCAAATATGAAAACAAGGCAGGAAGGATAGGTAGCTCTGAGGATATTGATTCAAATTTATTAGCTGGAAAAAGTAAGCAATGTTATATTAATTAGTAGCATTTAACTTTGTATATAGCCTTTGAAACATGCATTGGCTACAGGTCTCTGTGAATGATGCCGCTGGCCTGACTTAGTTGTTCACTGCACACAGGCTGAGTCGAGAGTCCTTGCTTGGCTCTTCAAGTCAATCTATCCTCATGGGATCATGCCCACAGTCAAAGACTTACTACATGTCGCCTATTGCTTATACCAGGAGTGCATGAGTACAGCACATGAATGTTGCATTGTAACCTCGTTGTGTGATGGCATGAATTGGAACATTGCTGCTTATTAGAAACTGAGGGAAATACTAAATAAATAGCACATTAACTTGAGGAGATAATTGTTTTCTTATCTATAGATGATCAGTTTATCTGTGACCTTGTCACCATCACTGCACTTACAATGTGTTGCCAACATGACGGGCTCTGACATACATGCCTACACTATGCAGCTGCTATGATATCACTGATTTAAAAAACAATACTAACTTTATCATTTAATGAATTAATCGTTGCAGGAAATAGTTGCTGTGATTATTAGAAATGAAAGCAGCAGATGTCAAATGTATAAATGTGACTCCCTGGCATTATCAAGTGTGACTAGAGAAAACATGAGGGCAGGCAATACAGGATATAGCCATACACAGATGGGGGTAAACTAAATAGAACAAAGCCATACACAGATGTGTGATTAACTAAATAGAACAAAGCCATACACAGATGTGTGATTAACTAAATAGAATATAGCTATACACAGATGTGTGATTAACTAAATAGAATATAGCCATACACAGATGTGTGATTAACTAAATAGAATATAGCCATACACAGATGTATGATTAACTAAATAGAATAAAGCCATACACAGATGTGTGATTAACTAAATAGAACAAAGCCATACACAGATGTGTGATTAACTAAATAGAATATAGCCATACACAGATGTGTGATTAACTAAATAGAATAAAGCCACACACAGATGGGTGTAAACTAAATAGAACAAAGCCATACACAGATGTGTGATTAACTAAATAGAATATAGCCATACACAGATGTGTGATTAACTAAATAGAATATAGCCATACACAGATGGGTGTAGACTAAATAGAATATAGCCATACACAGATGGGTGATAACCTAAATAGAATATAGCCATACACAGATGGGTGTAAACTAAATAGAATAAAGCCACACACAGATGGGTGTAAACTAAATAGAATATAGCCATACACAGATGTGTGATTAACTAAATAGAATATAGCCAAACACAGATGGGTGTAAACTAAATAGAATATAGCCATACACAGATGTGTGATTAACTAAATAGAATAAAGCCATACACAGATGGGTGGAAACTAAAGAGAATATAGCCATACACAGATGGGTGCAGGGTAAAGAGAATATAGCCATACACAGATGGGTGTAGACTAAAGAGAATATAGCCATACACAGATGGGTGTAGACTAAAGAGAATATAGCCATACACAGATGGGTGTAGACTAAAGAGAATATAGCAGTACACAGATGGGTGTAGACTAAAGAGAATATAGCCATACACAGATGGGTGTAGACTAAAGAGAATATAGCCATACACAGAAGGGTGTAGACTAAAGAGAATATAGCCATACACAGATAGGTGTAGACTAAAGAGAATATAGCCATACACAGATGGGTGTAGACTAAAGAGAATATAGCCATACACAGATGGGTGTAGACTAAAGAGAATATAGCAGTACACAGATGGGTGTAGACTAAAGAGAATATAGCCATACACAGATGGGTGTAGACTAAAGAGAATATAGCCATACACAGATGGGTGTAGACTAAAGAGAATATAGCCATACACAGATGTGTGATAACCTAAAGAGAATATAGCCATACACAGATGGGTGTAGACTAAAGAGAATATAGCCATACAAGTGACTGACAGACCAGTGAGACACAGTGCCATAGCTAGGACATGTGCTGTAATATAGAGGATATTCCATGTGGTAATATCATGTTTCTCTCATCTAGTGGGGAGAGGAGACATTTTCACAAGGCCACTATATCCTTTCCCACCCTCCATCTTACATAGGACAAGGATACAAATAGACCACCTCCTTGGTCTAGTGGGAGAGCATCCTCCCGGAGAGCGGAAGGTCCAGTGTTCGATCCCCGGCCGAGTATATACCAAATGTCGTTGAAAGATGGTACTTGTTGTTACCCTGCCTGGTAAAGGGGCTTAAAAAAAGGACTGGTTGGCTTGGAGTCAGTATACTGTGTCTCAGTGGGGTATTCATGTTAAACTGCGGCATGATATCTCAGTGGGCTAGCACTATATTTGTTCAGGCAAGTACAAGCGCGTACACACACATGCACACAAACTGCAATAATCTTGGATGCAACGTTAAACCCCATTTCACCTCAACTCACCTCAGATACAAATACTTATTAGTTAGGCTTTATAACATGTTGAATATGTTTGTCAAACAGAGACTTGTTTGTTTGAAGTCAAAAGATTTATTATCAGCTAGTGACAGTCATGTTATAGCAACCAGCTTGACTTTGTTGTGGACTTCACTTGAGTCAAATGTCAAAGCATGTCCAAATTCAATTGTATTAAGCCTACTCACAACATCAGTAAGGATGACAGTTATGTCGCTGTTTGAACTGGCCAGAACTAATAAAGTATGTGTTGATGTGTATTGTTTACCAGCACCAGACAAGAAGCAGGGAGGCCTCTGTTTAAGATCAACACTTGCTTGGGGACATTTAGCTGGACACATGTACAGTTTACTAAATATTTATGTAACTGGTCAAAATGTTGGTTTAAATAAAGTTCTGATAACATTATCATGTTGAATTTTCAATCTTACAAAAAGGTTATGACCAATAAATTTAGATTAAAAATACAAATATTTTATTGATTGTAGTACTTATCTGTACATGATTTTGAAATGATAATTCATTGTTAACTGGATGCAGCCATTGATGGAAACTAAAAAGGTACATTTGGTGGTTCCACTCCAATATTTCCTCCCACATAAGCAGCACAGGAACACTCTAGCCTACATACATGTGGAGAATGATATGATGATGTGTGTGCAGGTATCCCCCGACACAGCGACACCCGTCAACATGGCGGTGAAGCTGAGGAAAACCCCCTCCCCAAAGCAGGAGCGTCCTAAATCGGACATCACAGTGCGCTGGGCTGACCTCCTGGAGCAGGTGAGGGAAACCAACATCACCTACAGGAACGATGGACAGACAATACGTAAACGACCACGGCCAAAGTCAGACTTAGGTAAGTGAAGCTCATCACATATTTACACACTGTAGTGTGTCAGGTATTTACAATCGTTGGAAAGTTCCTGTTCACTCATTTCGTCTCCAAACTCCATTGACTCCTGATGTACATGTAATATCATTGGTTGACACAATCCTCTATGTGGAATAGGGCTGGGACACACTCCTCTATGTGGAATAGGGCTGGGACACAATCCTCTATGTGGAATAGGGCTGGGACACAATCCTCTATGTGGAATAGAGCTGGGACACAATCCTCTATGTGGAATAGGGCTGGGACACAATCCTCTATGTGGAATAGGGCTGGGACACAATCCTCTATGTGGAATAGGGCTGGGACACAATCCTCTATGTGGAATAGGGCTGGGACACAATCCTCTATGTGGAATAGGGCTGGGACACAATCCTCTATGTGGAATAGGGCTGGGACATAATCCTCTATGTGGAATAGGGCTGGGACACAATCCTCTATGTGGAATAGGGCTGGGACATAATCCTCTATGTGGAATAGGTACCCTCTCCCCTATTACCTGACTGTAATACTGTAGGTCTCAAGATGGGAACAAAATGTCCAATTGGAAATAGTTTGACCGTAGCCCTGGACAAAGTCTATTTAGATACACATTTAAGATTATCTGGTCATGCATACACTGAAGTTGACTGAAGTTTTATCTTTATTCAAACATAAAAGTCAGAAGGAATGGGTGCATAGTTAGAAAGAAATGTGAACATTAGTGACTAGTAGTGTAATCATTGAGTTCTAGATGATTTTTGCCATCAAACAATATATCACAGGACTAACAACCTAAAGTCCTGTGGTTAGTCCTTGTTCTTCTCAGTACCCCGACCCGAGTACCCGAGTTACCCGTCCCAGCCCTAATGTGGGAGCAAGGCTGCAGACTAGGACTGACCTAGGACTGGATTTTGCCATGTTGAAATACATCCTACAGAAGCATATTATCATACCTATTTTATTTAAGGAGAATGGTAATTCCTATTCCCAAGGTAATTGTACTTGCAAAGCAGTTTGTGTCCAAGTGTTATGAAAGATTGATTTGATTTGCAATAATGGACGTAGATCAGCTGGAGGAGTTGTTCACATGTGTTACAGAATCCCTGTGTGAAATACAGAAATGTCATTTCTGTCTGGCTCAGACAACTGGAAGGTGAATAATTGATTCTGGTCAAACAGCTACCACAACAATGGTTGCATTGCTTTGCAGGCCCACCGTGTCCCGCTGTGGCCTTAAACATGTGATTTCAATTTAAGAGACTTCCAGTTTTCTTGCTAGCGGAATGACATAACATTGTTACCATGGAAACCAAAATTTCAGACAAATCAGATCCAAGCACCCTAAGATGTGATTGAACCACGCTAGCATCCTTTCACAAATATATTCAGGAAGTTGGCACATTTTCTTTAGGGTTGTCAGGAAAAAGACAACTATAGGAGTTATTTTTGCCAGTTCTTGACAGATTTATATGCAATTGTCTGTCTTCTGTGACCAAATCAGCATGCAGGAGAACGCAATTGATTGAAGGGAGGCAATTTAACTCCTGGCTAACTCTAGGTCAGTTGTCGCTGTGATGACATGACACTAAGTCAAGGAAGCAAGCACTAGATGCTAGTCCCCCAATGTGTTCTCATAATGAGTGTCATTGCTCTCATTTGTGCTAGATGAGTAAGAAACATATTTGGGTATTCAAATGTTTTCAGGATTTTGGTGCACACTAATCTGAAGTTAGTTTTGTGTTTTCACATTTTCAAGATATTATTTTGCAATATTTCTCTTGTAATGGACAGATGCTGACAGATATGTAGAGTGTGGGATTTGGCTGTAAGGAGGGCTGTGGTTAGGGCATGTATCTCTCTCACTCAGCAGTCATGATTGATTTTCAGAAGCTATCCTGTATGTTGATGAAGGTTTAGCTGATGCGGATGCTGATAAGGTTGATGACATGTGTGAAGGTAGCCTGCATCATGGCACACTATAGCTGTGTCACATTCTGTGTACCTGACCCCAGCATACACCCAGCTCAATGCTGGCCTCAGGGGGAAGCTTGTGTAGGGGCAGTTTCTGCCACAAGAAAATGACATTGATGACAGTTTCAAAATCTTTACCACCCAAGAATGTTTGACAACTTTTTGATTTATCCTTTTGAGTACGACACATTTTACTCATAATTTTAAATTGTTCCAATAATGATTAGAGTTTTGCCTGAACCAAGTTTCCTGGCTTACTGCATATGCATCACTGCAAAGATAATTTGTTACACAGAATTTGAGCAGCTATGGTAAAGTACCCCTTTACCTGAGTTTCACTGTTTCTTTGAGTTATGTTGTTGAAGTTCAAGTTGGTATGTATTAATTCAGGTTTAGAGCAAAATATTTGTTATAATCTAGATGTAGTCCCAGTTGAGTGAACGTTGTCACTACATATACTGTGCCACTAACCAAACGTCCCACCTGTTGCTGGTTTCACTAATCATTAATTGCAGACATGGGAACAGCGATGTTGGAGGAAAGTCAAGGGATATAACTCTTGACTACTCATCAGAATCCATTCCTTACATTCACTACATGTGTTACGTGTGTTACAAGGAACAGTTCATGCTAGTTATAGATAAACATAAGCATGTATACTTCTTGATAAGAATTCTGTTCCTTCATATAGATTTTTGTGTATAGTTTTAACCTAAGATGATACTGTTAACACCACTGACTATAAGTCCATAGATTGCCTTGTTAGTGTATTGAGGGAATGAAGACGTGTATTACACTTGGATCAGTGACCTGTGGAGAAACTGTGAGCGACAGTAGAGACTCAACATTCCAAGTTGTCTTCTTGCCTTCTAGTGGAGGTAGATGTGGCAATGAATGTCCCATCAGCAGGATATATGTTTGAGAGGTTATAAACCATCCTACCTTACATACCGTTTCGGGACACACGTCTAGGACAGGGATATGTTTGAGAGGTTATAAACCATCCTACCTTACATACCGTTACGGGACACACTACTAGAACTGGGATATGTTTGAGAGGTTATAAACCATCCTACCTTACATACCGTTTCGGGACACACGTCTAGGACTGGGATATGTTTGAGAGGTTATAAACCATCCTACCTTACATACCGTTACAGGTAACACTACTAGGACAAGGATATGTTTGAGAGGTTATTAACCATCCTACCTTACATACCGTAACGGGACACACGTCTAGGACTGGGAAATGTTTGAGAGGTTATAAACCATCCTACCTTCATACCGTTTCGGGACACACGTCTAGGACTGGGATATGTTTGAGAGTCAAAAACCATCCTACCTTACATACCGTTACGTGACACACTACTAGGACTGGGATATGTTTGAGAGGTTATAAACCATCCTACCTTACATACCGTTACGGGACACACTACTAGGACTGGGATATGTTTGAGAGGTTATAAACCATCCTACCTTACATACCGTTACGGGACACACGTCTAGGCCTGGGATATGTTTGAGAGGTTATAAACAATCCTAACTTCCATACCGTTACGGGACACACGTCTAGGACAGGGATATGTTTGAGAGGTTATAAACCATCCTACCTTACATACCGTTACGGGACACACTACTAGGACAGGGATATGTTTGAGAGTCAAAAACCATCCTACCTTACATACCGTTACAGGACACACTACTAGGACTGGGATATGTTTGAGAGGTTATAAACCATCCTATCTTACATACCGTTACGGGACACACTACTAGGACAGGGATATGTTTGAGAGGTTATAAACCATCCTACCTTACATACCGTTACGTGACACACTGCTAGGACTGGGATATGTTTGAGAGGTTATAAACCATCCTACCTTACATACCGTTACGGGACACACTACTAGGACAGGGATATGTTTGAGAGGTTATAAACCATCCTACCTTACATACTGTTACGGGACACACTACTAGGACAGGGATATGTTTGAGAGGTTATAAACCATCCTACCTTACATACCGTTACGGGACACACTACTAGGACTGGGATATGTTTGAGAGGTTATTAATCATTCTACCTTACATACCGTTACGGGACACACGTCTAGGACAGGGATATGTTTGAGAGGTTATAAACCATCCTACCTTACATACCGTTTCGGGACACATGTCTAGGACTGGGATATGTTTGAGAGTCAAAAACCATCCTACCTTACATACCGTTACGGGACACACTACTAGGACTGGGATATGTTTGAGAGGTTATAAACCATCCTACCTTACATACCGTTACGGGACACACGTCTAGGCCTGGGATATGTTTGAGAGATTATAAACCATCCTACCTTCCATACCGTTACGGGACACACGTCTAGGACAGGGATATGTTTGAGAGGTTATAAACCATCCTACCTTACATACCGTTACGGGACACACTACTAGGACAGGGATATGTTTGAGAGTCAAAAACCATCCTACCTTACATACCGTTACAGGACACACTACTAGGACTGGGATATGTTTGAGAGGTTATGAACCATCCTATCTTACATACCGTTACGGGACACACTACTAGAACAGGGATATGTTTGAGAGGTTATAAACCATCCTACCTTACATACCGTTACGTGACACACGTCTAGGACTGGGATATGTTTGAGAGGTTATAAACCATCCTACCTTCCATACCGTTACGGGACACACTACTAGGACTGGGATATGTTTGAGAGGTTATAAACCATCCTACCTTACATACTGTTACGGGACACACTACTAGGACAGGGATATGTTTGAGAGGTTATAAACCATCCTACCTTACATACCCTTACGGGACACACGTCTAGGACAGGGATATGTTTGAGAGGTTATAAACCATCCTACCTTACATACCGTTACGTGACACACTACTAGGACAGGGATATGTTTGAGAGTCAAAAACCATCCTACCTTACATACCGTTACAGGACACACTACTAGGACTGGGATATGTTTGAGAGGTTATGAACCATCCTATCTTACATACCGTTACGGGACACACTACTAGGACTGGGATATGTTTGAGAGGTTATAAACCATCCTACCTTACATACCGTTACGTGACACACTGCTAGGACTGGAATATGTTTGAGAGGTTATAAACCATCCTACCTTACATACCGTTACGGGACACACTACTAGGACAGGGATATGTTTGAGAGTCAAAAACCATCCTACCTTACATACCGTTACGGGACACACGTCTAGGACAGGGATATGTTTGAGAGGTTATAAACCATCCTACCTTACATACCGTTTCGGGACACATGTCTAGGACTGGGATATGTTTGAGAGTCAAAAACCATCCTACCTTACATACCGTTACGGGACACACTACTAGGACTGGGATATGTTTGAGAGGTTATAAACCATCCTACCTTACATACCGTTACGGGACACACGTCTAGGCCTGGGATATGTTTGAGAGATTATAAACCATCCTACCTTCCATACCGTTACGGGACACACGTCTAGGACAGGGATATGTTTGAGAGGTTATAAACCATCCTACCTTACATACCGTTACGGGACACACTACTAGGACAGGGATATGTTTGAGAGTCAAAAACCATCCTACCTTACATACCGTTACAGGACACACTACTAGGACTGGGATATGTTTGAGAGGTTATGAACCATCCTATCTTACATACCGTTACGGGACACACTACTAGAACAGGGATATGTTTGAGAGGTTATAAACCATCCTACCTTACATACCGTTACGTGACACACGTCTAGGACTGGGATATGTTTGAGAGGTTATAAACCATCCTACCTTCCATACCGTTACGGGACACACTACTAGGACTGGGATATGTTTGAGAGGTTATAAACCATCCTACCTTACATACTGTTACGGGACACACTACTAGGACAGGGATATGTTTGAGAGGTTATAAACCATCCTACCTTACATACCCTTACGGGACACACGTCTAGGACAGGGATATGTTTGAGAGGTTATAAACCATCCTACCTTACATACCGTTACGTGACACACTACTAGGACAGGGATATGTTTGAGAGTCAAAAACCATCCTACCTTACATACCGTTACAGGACACACTACTAGGACTGGGATATGTTTGAGAGGTTATGAACCATCCTATCTTACATACCGTTACGGGACACACTACTAGGACTGGGATATGTTTGAGAGGTTATAAACCATCCTACCTTACATACCGTTACGTGACACACTGCTAGGACTGGAATATGTTTGAGAGGTTATAAACCATCCTACCTTACATACCGTTACGGGACACACTACTAGGACAGGGATATGTTTGAGAGTCAAAAACCATCCTACCTTACATACCGTTACAGGACACACTACTAGGACTGGGATATGTTTGAGAGGTTATTAATCATTCTACCTTACATACCGTTACGGGACACACGTCTAGGACTGGGACATGTTTGAGAGGTTATTAATCATTCTACCTTACATACCGTTACAGGTAACATGTCTAGGACTGGGATATGTTTGAGAGGTTATAAACCATCCTACCTTACATACCGTTACGGGACACATGTCTAGGACTGGGATATGTTTGAGAGGTTATAAACCATCCTACCTTACATACCGTTACAGGTAACACGTCTAGGACTGGAATATGTTTGAGAGGTTATAAACCATCCTACCTTACATACTGTTACAGGACACACGTCTAGGACTGGGATATGTTTTAGAGTAAAGAACCATCCTACTTTACATACTGTCATGGGACACATCTAGGACTGGGATAGAATGTTGTCAACTACCGATTGAAAGCTATTGCACAGTAATAGAAAGTTGTCCACACATGTATATACGTACTTCCTTGTCAGACTGTAACAACGCTTGTGGCTGAGCCTTCCCCCAGAGCATGGCTGTTGCTGTGGGTGCTCCTCTCCTGTTCACCCCAGGGGTTGACATGTGCTGTAAGTTTCTAGATTTGCCATGT